CATTGGTTGCTTAGTAGCATGTTGTTTAGTTTCCACATGTTTGTGTTTCTTGCATTTTTTTCCTGTACTTGATTTCTAGTCTCATAGTGTGTGGCCAGAAAAGATGCTTGATATGATTTCAATTTTATTACATTTATTGAGACTTGTTTTGTAGCTATCATGTTATCTATCCTGGAGAATGTTCCATATGCACCTGAAAAAAATGTGTATTTTGCTGTTCTTGAATTAAATGTTCTCTATATATCTATTAATTCTATCTGCTTTAATGTGTCATTTAAAGCCATTTTTCATTATTGGTTTTCTGTCTAGATGATCTGCCCACTGATGTAAATAGGGCATTAAAGTTTCTACTAATTTACTATCATTTTTCTCCCTTCATATTTGTTAATATCTGCTTCATGTATTTAGGTACTTATAATGGGTGCATATATATTTACAATTGTTGTTGGATTCATCAATTCTTGTTGGACTGATCCCTTTATCTATATCTATAATATTCTTCTTTGTCTCTTGTTACTTCTTTATTTTAAAGTCTTCCATTTGATGTAAGCATTGCTATCCCTGCTTTTCATTTCCATTTACATGAAATACCTTTTCCGTCCCCTCACATTCAGTCTTCATGTGTCTCTAGATCTGAAGTGACTTTCTTGTAGGTAGCATATATATGGGTCTTGTTTTTTACCCATGCGGCTCCTCTGTGTCTTTTGATTGGAGCACGTAGTCCATTTACATTTAGTGTAATTATTTCACATCTTTTTGTTTGTGTATTTCTTAACTACTTTGGTGGATACAGATGATTCTATACTTTTGTCTTTTAACCTTCCTACTAGCTTTATAAGTGGCTGACCTACTACATTTACTATGTTTGCTTTTACCAGTGAGATTTTTCCTTCCGTAATTTTCATAGTTCTAGCTGTGGTCTTTTCTTTTCTGTTTAAAGAAGTCCCTTTAACATATCTTGTAAGCCTAGTTAGTAGTGCTGAACTCCTTTAGCTTTTGCCTACCTTTAAAACTCCATCTTTTCAAATCTGAATGATAACCTTGCCAGGTAGAGTATTCCTGGTTGGAGGTTTTTTCCTTTCATCACTTTGCATATGTACTGCTACTCCCTACTGGCCATCAAAGTTTCTTCTAAAAATACAGCTGATTGTCTTATTCCCTTGCACGTAACTAGTTGCTTTTGCTGTTTTTAAGATTCTCTCTTTAATAATTGCCATTTTAATTATAAGGTGTCTTGGTGTGGACCTCATTGGGTTCACCTCTTTTGGGACTCTCTGTGATTCCTGGACTTGGATATCTGTTTCCTTCCCCAGGTTAGGAAAGTTTTCAGCTATCTTTTTCTCCAAATAAGTTATCCGCCCCTTTCTCTCTCTCTTCTCCTTCTGGGACCCCTATAATGAAAATGTTAGTACACTTGATGTTGTTCCAGAGATCTCTTAAACTATCCTAATTTTGTTTGTTTGTTTTGGGTTTTTTTTTTTTGCGGTACGCGGGCCTCTCACTGTTGTGGCCTCTCCCGTTGCAGAGCATAGGCTCTGGACACGCAGGCTCAGTGGCCATGGCTCACGGGCACAGCTGCTCCATGGCATGTGGGATCTTCCTGGAACGGGGCACAAACCCGTGTCCCCTGCATCGGCAGGCGGACTCTCAACCACTGCACCACCAGGGAAGCCCTATCCTAATTTTTAAAATTCTTTTTCCTTTTCTCTATTCAGCTCGGTTGATTTCCACTACTCTGTCTTCCAGATCACTGACCTGTTCCTCTATATCATCTAATCTACTGCTGGATTCCTCCTCGTGTATTTTTTATTTCAGTTATGTATTCTTTAATTCTGTTTCATTCTTATTTATATTTTCTAGCTCATTGTTGAAATTCTCACCATGTTCATTCATTCTTCTCCTAAGTTTGGTGAGCATGTTTATAATTATCATTTTGAACTTTTTATCAGGTAAATTGCTTATCTCCACTTTGTTTAGTTCTTCTTTTGAGGTTATCTTGTTCCTTCATTTGGAACATATTCCTCTGTCTCCTCATTTTGCCCAATTTTGTTTGCTCTATGTATGAGGTGGGTCAGTTACATTTCCCAATCTTGGGGACGTGGCCTCATGCAGAAGATGTCCTATGAAGCCCAGCAGCCCCTTCCCCTCTCATCTCCAGAGCTACATGCTTTAGGGGTGCCCCCTCTGTGGGCTGCATGCATCCTTCTGCTGTGGCCGGGATGGCTACTGTGGGTGTGATGGTAGCGGGCCTGGGCCCTGGCCTGGCTGGCTGTGAGGCCGTTCCTCTCGCAGGGATGCAGGCCTACTGGAGGGTGGGGTAGCATTCTCATATGGTTGGCTGCACATTCTGTGTGGGCCTCCAGGCTGGTGCTTGCCCGCTGGAGGGTAGAGCTAGGTCCCCATGAGTCTGTCAGTTTCATGTTTTTTAATCAGTTTGTGACAGTCCAAGCGAGATGCAGGCTCCAATGCAGTCCCCTCACTCAACCATCAGAACCACTTTTAAAGCAGTGATCCTCAGGCTTTCCTGGGTACAGCAGGGAAGTGGGCTTCCAGCTTTCTACTCTCTAGAGATTGTGAGTACCTGTGTGTCTGTGTGTGTCTCTTGAAAATGAGGTGGGAAGTACCATTTGTACATGAACATCCAAAAGCCCTGTTCTCTCTTCCCACTAAGAATAAACGAATCATATGGAATCTAAACAAAGCTGTAAAATTTCAAGTTTTAGAATGAGAACAAACTGCTCAAAGTCAGATCTTTATCTTATCAACCAAATCCCTCTCACTTAAAGGTTTCCAAAAATATCAATAATTTACTGAAAACTAATTTGCAAAGCACATTCACATGTAAAGAACATAATTTAGTGTTTCAAAAGTCGTTTTCTTTGAGACGGAAATTTTATTCCGATTTTAAAATAAGAATAATTAATAAAAACAAGCAAATCATTCATATTTTACAATAGGTCTTATATTATGCTTTGAAAATATATTAAAGTGCTTTTAAAAATCCAAACATCAGTCATGTCATGGAGAAATTTCCCAGAGATTCTGGCAGTGAAAGAGTATGAAATATCCTGTCACCAGTCAGGCCTAATTCACAAAACCCACGTGCCTCTCTTGAACTTTAGATATATCTATTTGGATCCAAATTCTGGGGGAACAATGCAAAATACTCAATGGGTTTACTGTATAGTTGATCATCTACATAAAATTCTTACAGCAAAATCCAGGAAGACGTATCTATGTCACCCTCACCTTGAAGTTAGCTTGAAGGGTGATGGGCAGAGAGCCCATGTGGGAGACTTGAACTCCTGGGGACCAGAAGAACCAAACATCCGCCAGCTGGCTGCGTCAGCAGCCACACCCTCACTTAGAATCCAGGGACCCGGACTCTTCTTTGAGCTTCCCAAGATAGGAAGCCAGGGGAAGGAAGAATTCGTTAGCAAGGACCTCAGTGGTCATTCACGCTACTGCCTCATTCTACACGAGGAAACTAAGTCCCAGAGAAGCACAAGATTTTGCCTAATGTTCCTCAAGATTTCTGCTCAAATTTAACACTTCTGAGCAGCAAAAAACTTGATTTTCAAGACACGTTATGGTCGGCCTTATAGTTTCAGACTTGATTGAGGTGACACCCCTTTTGATGATCCTCGTCACCTTCCAAATACAGCTGACCTGCCTGTCTGTCTGCCTTCAGGAAGAGTCTTTGGTTGAGGTGCCAGCTCAGCTCTGCGGCTGCAAGAACTGGGGACCGAGGAATAAGGCTTGGGTTGGAAGAGGGACAGAGGGGTCGGGACGCAGGGAGGGGGCCTGGGAGGGGGAGGGGTCAGGGAAGGGTCAGAGGTCTGGACCACCCTTGGGTGAGAGACCATGACACACAATCCCACAAAGCTGGCCCTCAGGAAACGCTGTTAAACGTTGAGTTAAAATACCCTAGTTTGTCTTCTCCCGCGAAGCAGGGCAGCAGGCCAGCCATCCCCAGCGCTTTTCCACAGCAGCTTTTATTCCTAGCGCTCTTCATAACCTCGCTCCCTCAAATTTATAGTATTTTCAGAATAAAATTCATGAAGCCAGTCAGAACACAGCCTCCATCCCATCACAATTCTGAGCAGTGATTCTGACTACAGCTGGGAAATAGCACACAAAAAGATCGGCCAAGCACAGGCTGAGAGACAGACAGACAGAGCTCTGTGTCAGCGCTGAGATGGATGAGATCAATTTTGAAGCTTCTCTGCCTTCATATTCTAGGTTACAGACATCAGTGATTTTAGCGATTTCTTTTCTCTTTTGCCTCCACAGCCTCATGTTTCAAACTGCATCGTTCCACAGTTATCACAGGCATCATTTTATATAACCCCCAGAGAATGAGTCACTTTATGATAAAGCAGCATTTTAGAATTTGTGGTCTACAGTAGGTTTTATTCAATTTAGTTGGTTGGTCAGAGAGTAAAAACTTTGAAAGACAGTTATACTCAACATTAATACCTGTTTGAAAAACCAGTAATCCAATTTTATATTTTCACTCTTAAATGTATCAGTAAGCACTTAATGTCTCAATCAATAAGCATCAAAATGATTAGCTTGCCTATACCATATCACTGTTAAATTTATCAGTACACATGTGATGTATTACAACCAGTCGGACTTGTAGAGCGAGGCATGGACAGGTACAGGCTGTAGACCCCTGTGAGGCCGGGGCCAGGTCTGTTTCTCACTGCCCAGCTCCCTGCCGCCCAGCCCAGCACCTGGATGAAGGGATGGCTGCGTGGACAGGTGACAAATGGAATGGAATGAGTGTTTCCTAATCACTCCCCGAATCAATTTCCCCTTGAATCACCCAACCAGCCTGCTCTGAAGGTTTAAACGTTCATCTGCTGAACATAACACAACGTAGGGTTTAAGTAAAGCGGTCTTTCAGAGCGTCCTGCCTGCAGTACAGTTACACACGGGGGTGGGGGGGGCGGAAACAACCCGGCAGGAACAAACCCCACGATCTACGCGCTCACCTGCCATATCGATGGCAAAGGGCCTGTCTGCTCTCCAGCCGGTGTACCAGCCGACGACCTTCCCGTTTTCCACCAACGGACGTTCATAGCGCCGCCCGCCAACCAGGCCCACTGGCCACACAGAGACCTTGCGCGTTGTTCGCATCTACAAAAGGGGAAAGAGACGTAGTTGAAGCTTCCTTAGGGGAAGGAACCTGAACGAGGAAAGGAATGTGAGCCACAGAAGAAACGGGGGGAGTGGAGATTTCCGAACGGTGAAGGTTTCCGAGTGGAACCAGAACCCTCCTGCTGGCAGACTGTTCCCCGGTTCCCTGCCGTGTGGCTGCCTGGTGCCACTGCCCTGTGCTGTCACGGACTCAGCCAGGGGCTCCGGGCTGAGAAATAAAGTGGGTCCATGTCTGAGCATCGCTCATCAGAAGCTGAGCTGTGACCATCAAATACTGTCTATTTGTCTCAAAGCTGGACCTTCAACTACGCTTGGTCCCCCGGCAAGTGCAAGTTCCCGACTGCCCCTTAGGCAACCTTATTACTCAGCAGCAGCAGCAATTCCTCTCGGAGGAGCCATAGGGGTTGCCCGTCTCTGATTTCTTTTTTTACTGTTACAGACACAGAGAGATCTTGTCTGGGGACATTCATAACGGGATCCAGACACAGAACAGACACCAAGCACCCTCCGGACAGAAAGAAAAATGTCCCCTAAATTCGCCTGCCTTTCAAAGGCGATCGGGCCAAATTAGAGAGGAAAGGCCCACACGGGCTGCTGGAATCTCTGGTCCTCTCCAGGTACATGCTCTTAAAGACAGCCCTCAACTGACGTGCTGGGGCCAAGTCAGCCCACGTGGCGCCTTTCTGCAAACTAGAAAGAGCTGCCCCTTTCTCAGGTGGACACACCCATGCCGGGGCCCCTGGCTTGGCCATCAAAGCGCAGGCTGGATTTCAGCAGTGCCTACTCTCCCAGCTGGGTGTGCCACACCGCTGCACCAGGCGGACCCGTTGTTGGGATCGTTATAATTTCAACACCAATGCTTGACCTTTTATTTGCTATAGAACTGGGTCATGGTCAGTTAACCAATGAATAAAATAAAGATTATCAATCAAGGAATTATTTAATGAAAGGAAGAAAAATTATATTCTTGGCAAAGATTTTCAAGTACAATTCAAATCAAAAGTTATACTACTGTATTAATGAAAATATAACTCAAAGCTCCCATTTAGCAAATATCCCAACTTTACTTATTTATTAATATCCCACTTCACTCCAAAGAGCAGATTTTAGAGCATGAAGCAATCCAGGTAATGAAGATCCCATTCTATTGGTCTTCCACAAATCTGAAATGACTGTTTTTTATAGTCTATCACTTTTTCAGTAAATTAACCATCATTGCCTTGTGCTAGCTCATACTAACTAAATTTTTTTTTAAAAAGTGCTACTGAAAAAAGAAAAGAGTGCTACTGAGGTATAACTGACTACAGAAAAGAATTAACAGTCCTGAGACTGATTTTCAGAAAAGCCTGCTTATAAGCTGGCCCTTGGCTGGCACCTGGGAATCTGGCTTTTGAAGCAGTCCCTACGTTGATATGGTTGTTCTGCCCGCCTGGGCCACTGAACATGCTTTCTTTTCGGGCATCTGAAATACCGGTGGGCAGAGGTGCCTATGTGACCAGCCCCCAGCAAAAACCCTGAACCTGAAATGGGTTTCAGTGGGCATAACCACTGTACCTCCATAGTTACAGCTTTGCTGCTGGAGGGAAGGTGTGCTCTGCGGTCCCTCATGGGGGGAAGAGGACGCAGGAAGTGGCACGCGGATTCCTCCAGACCCTTCCTCACGTCTTTTCCTCACTGATGTGCCTATGGATCCTACTGCATCCTGGTGACATATCTTATCCACAAGTACAATACGTGCTGGGTGCTAGGGGTCCCAGTAAATCACCAAGCATGTGGGCAGTCTTAGGGACCCCTGAAAGGATAAAATGCATGTTTTGAAGAGTAAAATTTGATACACTTTGACCTATGTAAATGGCCATGAACACATGGCCAAAATGAAGATAATAAACATATCCATCACCTCCAAGTTTCCTTGTGCTGTTTTCTAAAGCCACCCCTCTTATGCTCTCCACATCCCCTAACCTCAGGCAACCGCTGATCTCCACAGAATTTTATATGAATGGAAGCATATGGTATATACTGTGTTTTTTTTAATTGGGCTTCTTTCACCTAGAATAATGATATGGAGATTCAGCCAGCCTACAATGTGTATCAACAGTCCATTCCTTCACATTGCTGAGTAGTATTCTACTGTATGGATGTATGGGTGTGCCACAGTTTTGTTTTTTTAAATCCATTTACCTGTTGATGGACTTCTGGGTTTTTTCAAGCCTCTGGATATTACAGATGAAGCTGTTATGAACATCGGTGTATGAGTCTATGCAGACTTCATTATTTTTGGATAAGTACCTAAGAGTGGAATGCCTAGATCACATGGTACGTGTACATTTAACTTTTTAAGAAACTGCCAAATTATTTTCCAAAGTGGTTGCGCCGTTTTACAATCCCGCCAGCAGTGTGTGAGTTCCAATCATTCCACATCCTCGCCGAGACTTGGTGTGGTTGGTGTTTCATTTTAGCCATTCTAATAGGTATTAGTAGTATGTCACTGTGGTTTTAATTTGCATTTTTCTAATGACTGATTATGTTGAGTATTTTTTCACGTGCTTATAAGCCATACGGCATTGCTTCTTTGGCAAAGTATTTGTTCCAATCTTTTGCCTACTTTTAAAATTGCTTATGTCTTTCCTGTTGTGTTTTGAGAGGTATTTATATAGTCTGCATACAAATCCTTTTCTCAGATATGTGCCATAAATATTTTCTCTTTGTCTGTGGCTCATCTCTTCTTTTCTTTCTTTTCTTAATTGGGGTATAGTTACTTTACAATGTTGTGTTGATTTCTGCTGTACAATGAAGTGAATCAGCTCTATGTCTATCTCTATCTCCTCCCTCTTGGGAGATGTGGCTAATCTTTGGAAGGACAGACAGCTGTAATGTTGACGAAGTCCAGTGCATGCATTTGTCCTTCATGAAGAATGCTGTTGGTGTCACAGCTGAGATATTGTTGCCTAACCTGCAGTTGTCTCCTCCTTCCTGCAAGTTATGATGGATTTAGGTCTTATATTTAATTATGATCTATTTTGAGTTAATTTTGTGTATGTGATGTGAGGGACTGAAATTCTTCTCTTTCTTTTTTGCATGTGGATATCCAATTGTTCCAACTGTATCTAATTGTCCCAGAACTACAGAACAGCCTTTGTACTCTTGTCAAAAGTCAGCAGCCGCATACGTGTGAGTTTACTTCTGGATGTTCTCCCTGACCCATTGGTCCGCTTGGCGATCTAATGCTAATACCACACTGTCTTGATTTACTGTGGTTTTATGACAACTGCTGTAACCAGGTGGTGCGAGTTCCCCATCTCTGTTTTTCTTCATCAGAGTTGTTTTGACTATTTCCATATGAGTTTCAGAGTCAGTCTGTAAATTTTGGCAAATTTTGATCAGGACTGCATCAAATCTATATATCAATTCATTGAGAACTGACAACGTAGCAATATGGAGTCTTCGAATCCATGAACATGGTCTCTCTCTCTCTCTCTAGTGATTTCGATCTTTCATTCCTCCCAGCAAGGTTTTGGAGATTTAATTTTGAATCAGTATTAACATTTAATGCTTTTGTGTCCTAGATCTTTGCCACAGGTGGGAAAAAAGCCAGGAATTTTATTAAACATTTCCCCAAAATACGGCCCTCTCCTCAACTCACTCCACCCCTGGTTCCCTCACACACTGCAGAAAATGAAAAATTTCCATTTTTTTGTTTGATATCTCAAATTGATATCTCAAAACATACTGAGAAATCAAGTTAAATCTAGTACATGCTTTTCTTACAGTGACAGAATGGCCTTGTATCTAACAAGGTACTGAAAATAGTGCTGTGTCCTTTTTTTGATATTTCCTTAAAATGCCTATGATTTTTTAGCTCCTAAACTGCTTTTTCCTGGAGCACTAAATTTTCAAATCTGAAAAGCTGGTAAGCGGACCTCGTCTCAGACCTGGGTATCCTCTTGAGAATGCATAGGTTGTGCCTGCATACAGCAGGTGCCAAAACATTCTTGATAAGTGTGTAAGCACCATGTGGTACCTGAGCCATATGTAGCAAGCAATCAGGATGCTGTGTTGTGAAGGGGCACCTCACAGGCAAGAGGAGGACAGACAGGAAAAGAACAGAAGGAAAGGGGAAACAGGGAAAGAGAAATTCCCTTACAGA